CTCATCGATACCCGAACAAAGATCGCCCTGGAGTCATGGAGACTAGATTGTGCGAAGAAGTCCTCGGTTCATCATCCAACGACCCCGAGTTACCGGTGCTGAGATTGCATTTGTCCAGCCATGAGAAGAGAAGATATACTCTACGAAAAACCGAAACCATGTGCTAAACCAAAAGTATTTTGGTACAGTTATTCGTAAAGTATAGTTTTGTGCTCTGAGGATGTCGGTTACGTCGATACTCATCACGGATGGACCGAGTCATGTATTCGTAAACTCCCACAGTCTTTATTTGAAGGTGATCCTCCTTTGGCTTCTGGGGAGGTCAATTCACGAATTGCCTTGAATTGAAAAGTCGAGTCCCACTAGTTTATTATATGATTCTTCGAAGTTCAGCTCTTCTTCATTTAAGTATTGTTTGCTCCACTAAACTATCTCTGTTTGTACATCGCCGCTCTTCCAGACGCTTGAGATAAGTGGACGTCTTCAGTTTCTGGTCGGTCAATCCCGCAGTCTTCAGCTTGCCGCGGCCGAAGCCAGTGCAGCAGCTGCTGCTGCTGCTTCTGCTGCCGGCGGCGGCTCGAACCGTTATTCGGGTGGTCTCGAGGCGTCACGTGGCTTGTGTCCTGGGCCACCCGGAGCCTCGCCCAGCGAGACGGGATCCGACCGCCAGACCGGCCACCGGCACATGACGTCAGGAGGTGGCGCCTCGACATCTGCCGTTGCCAGCACCGCCCCAGCAACGCCTTCTGCCCGGCCCACATGCAGCGGTGCCTCCTGCTCCACTTCAGCCGGACTCGGACATGTCCGACCTGTCGGCGGTCGGGCCGGCTCAACAACCGCCACATCCACAACAGCAGCCCCGACCGGTGGCTACGTCGGTGATGCATGCTCCGGCCTCCTGTTGCCACCCCTCGGGCTCTTCGCCATCTGTAGCCCCCTGGGGCCTCTGCCTAGTTTGGACTCGGCGCAACGCGACATGACCTTCAAAACGAAGCACAGACTTGACTTGTCTCTCGTCAGCATGGACAGCAGGTACGGCCATGCCTCCGTCATCGACAAGTTTGGACGGCATAGCAACCAATTCATTTGGTCTCATACCAGTTCGTCTATGCCCTTGCTTGGTTAAACTCTGGTTTACATATGAGACGTATCCACCCTATTTCGCTTAAGGACTGCTGGTTGAATTTTCCCAAAATTATATCAGTAGACCTCACGTTTCTAGTACATTCCGCATAGTCTTGCCTCCAAAAAGCTAAGATCATCCATTCAGGAGTGACCTGCAATTTCGACTTCACTTGGATCTCATCAACACCCCTTGCGAGACTTGAACCTGAGTTGTAGGAGTGCAGCGCCAAATGGCCAAGAGTACCTTTGGGTCACAGAGCAGATGTAAACTTAAATAAAGGCCTGGCCCTTTCCTATATCCAATTTTTGGGGGTTATTCGATAAAGCAGAGTTGTATTTATTATAGCAACCGATTATACTACGTATTTTTCGATAAAAGGTAGGCTTTTGAGACTACTACTAGATCATATATATGGGGTGTACTAACCTTATAGCGTTAAGATGATGCAGAACTGGTATATAAATGTTGAGCTTACTTTCATTTT